TACTTGGACTGATGCTGTGATACCTGTATTGCTTCAGCTTACGCATACGAAGTCGTAGGCAAGTTTCTCAACGCGGCTGATAGCCAATGATGTTCATAGGGGATGGTAGAAGCGACGTCCTTACAAAGAGCATGCGACCCATGCTACTGTTCATGCTGCGGATACTCACTAATCAATAGCCTCTGATGGCGACAGTGGAGCCGGTAACATGAGAAGCCCTGCCGATTTACGTTGATGAAAGCCCCAGACCCTGAACCTAAACCCTAAACCCCAGGCCCTAAACCAAAAAACCCTAAACTCCAGACCCTCGACCCTGTACGTCCGTTTTACTCTAAACCCTGAAACCCCGGGCCCCATCACCCAACAAACCCTAGACCCCGGGCCGTACATATCCCCAGCCCTTCGAGACCGAACTTTCCAAAATCCCTTGCCTTAATTAAGGAGTATACCTTGATAAACTAAGGTATATGGGGGGGTGTCCGAAAACAAGGGACCCTAATACAGTACCCTAAATAGTAGGATCCTTATTATAAGGACCCCAAAATAAGGTACCCCTATCTTCGGAAACTCCCATATGCCTTAACTAAGGGTTACGAGCCTGCCAGACCTTGAACTTGCCCACTTCAGTGCCTTGGTCCGTCGAGGAGGGCGCTTCACACAAAATTGGAAGGGTCAGGCTGTCCGGGTTTGGGTTTAAGGTTTAGGGTTTAGGGTTTAAGGTTTAGGGTTTAGGGTTTAGGGTTCCGGGTTTGGGTTTAAGGTTGAGGGTTTCAGGTTTACGTTTTACAGTTTAAGGTTTGAAAGGGTTTAATTGGGTTTAGGGTGTAGGGTGGGCTACTCTAGCAGTGTTGCTATAGAGCTAAAAGCAAGGCTACAAGGGGTACCAATTGGGCTACTGCTAAGGGTACTAGGAGCTTCCAAACAGCAGGGCTTCATGCAAGCCTTTTCTCGGGTTTGGGTTTCAGTTCATAAGAGTTTCTAGGGTTTGGCGGTCAAGACTTAATGAGACTTTAGAATACCCCTTGGCGAACTCACTCAAATGAGACCGGGCATCAGGGCCTTAGGTTTCGGTTTGGTTTGGGACCTATAGTCTCCATTGTAGCTCCTTCTTGGGGTTACCTTATTGGATCCTAAATCTGAACTTGGATAAACCACAAAAGGAACTACCATGGAGACTGCAGTCGCCGGCGCGGGCGGCATGGTGGGCTTCGAAACCGGTGCTTTTGCAGGTGCCGGCGGTGCTGGCATAGAGCTCCGAGGGAATGCTGAATATGGAGTCGAAGAGCTCGGGTGCTGTCTTGGTGACCGGAGAAGTCGAGGGTGCCGGCGTTGGCCGCACCGATCTCCTTGCTGCCTCTGCCAAGTGCCCATTGTCGGGTCCAAGGGGTCGTTCCTCGGCACTTATCAAGCCTTGCACTCTTTAGGGTTTTGGGGTTTTTATTTTGTTAAGTTGAAAGACGCCCCTTTCTCCAGAAGGCACTGGCCCTTTGGGGTTTAGGGTTTAGGGTTTAGGTCCTGAAGCTCTCTCCAGAGGGATTGCTCAGAAGTGCCGTGGTCCTGTGGAATGCCTTTGGCACTGACCGCACTGACCATGAGTACCGTGGAGCCTCCGTCGAGGGCGGAGGCGGATCAGGAAGACCGACAGACCTAGCCGGTTCTTTTTGACTACAGCCGGCGGAATTCTACTTAGCATTCGTAACATCATGCGGATAGTTCTCTAAACTTAGGGTCGCTTTCTACTGTAGGTACCCAAAACAGTACGGCACCCGTATAATCAAGAAACACGCGAAAACTATCCTAGTTTTGGAGAACTACCCATGTTACATGACGCACTTCATAAGTGCCATGCGCTAAACCCCTCAACCCTGCCTCTAAACCAAAAGGAAGCTTCTTGGATCTGAACGCCTTCTCTGCTGCCGCCCAGAAAACCCTAAGTTTTAGGACCCAAACCAATATTTCCTAAGCCCCCCTCGCCATCGAGCCCTAAAGCCCACAACCCGAATCTCAAAAACATGGCCAGAAAATCCTGATAGTAATCTCTATAGCAACCTTATAGTAACCCTTGTACGTCCTGCACAACCCCTGTAATATAGGGACCCTTGATAATTAGAACGGGGTATGGGGGTATATGATATTATATATAATCATAGTCAGGAGCCGCCAGAATAGTAAAGGTAACTATTTTGGGGGTGGGTATATGATACCATAATCCTAGTCAGGAGCCGCCAGCACTATTTGGGGGGGGTATATGATACTATAATCATGGTCAGGAGCCGCCAGAACAGTATAGGTAACTACGGCTGATGGACAAAATCCTGCATGACCTTATATACCTAAACCATGGGATTTATGGTACTATACTATATCTAGGTCATGCAGAATTTTGTCCATCAACAGTATTGAGGCCCCTCTGGGCCCGGGACCAATCAATTTCCTGGCTTTCTCGACCTCGTTCTGCCGCTTCTGGGCATTGGCCTGTAAAGCGTCTCGGGGTTTAGGGTTTAGGGTTTAGGGTTTAGGGGTTTGGGCAGGACATTCTTGGGGGTTTCCGGTTTTTCGGTTTGGAGTTTAGGGGTGTCGGGTTTGGGATTCCGGGGGTTTGGGGTTTTGGGGGTTTAGGGTTTGGGGTTTCGGGTTTTTCGGGGTTCAGGGGTTTAGGGCGTAGAGTTTAGGGTTTAGGGCCTCGGGTGCAGGGTGTTACGGTTTAGGCTTCGCGGTTTAGAGTTTAGGTTGTGTTGTAACGGTCTTGGGTGGACAGCTTAGGGCCTTGGGCTAAGGGCTTAGGGTATGCCTCAATCCCAACTGGCTGTTTGGGTTTAGGGTGTAGGGTTAGCTACCAGGTCACCACTGCTTACAAAGCTGATGCGAGGGGGAAATTGAAAGAAGTAACTTATGGGTTTACGGTTTAGGGTTCAGGGTCCAGGGTTTAGGGTCTAATTAGGGGATTACGGGTTTAGGGGTTAGGGGGCTCACTTGCCAGACCGCAGTTACTACCTCGACACTACACCCAAACAAAAGAAGCACAACTTTGTAGCCTGGAAGCCAAGACTGCGTACCGCTACCATGTTAAAGGAGGACTTACTTACTGTAGGGGCCTTAATAATTAGAACAGAGTTTTGGGGTCCTCTTTTGTATATTTCTAGCAACGAACGCCAAAATAGTATAGGCAAAGGTGGTTGTCAAGGCCCCTATATTACGGGAGCTTCAAATAAGAAGGGACATTCATGTAGAGCAGAAAAGTAGAGGGACGCCGTACAGGGAACACTATTCTTTAGACTTCATTACCCTAAACCCTAAACCCTAAACCCTAAACCCTTCATTCCCCCCTCCCCCGACAGAAGCGGACCTGCACCACTTTCTGAAGGTCGTCCACGGAGTAGGAGAAGACCTGACAGCTTCAGCCCTTGATCCTCCAATCCTAAACCAACCTATAGTCTCCATTGTAGTTCCTTTTTTGGGATACCTTATAAAATCCTTAACATATAATTGGTTAAACCGAAAAAAGGAGCTACAATGGAGACTATAGGAATGTTATGTGTTTTCAGTTTCATGTCCTACCAATCAGCAGGTTCGTTCACAATCCGGCTGTGATGGCATGCCTAATGCCGAATATGAGGGGCGGGGATTTCCTTGCGACTTCAGACCTCAATAGTAACTGAACTGCCGCAGCTTAACCCTAAACTCTAAACCCTAAACCCCGAAAGCCCTAAACTCCAGACCTTGAAAAGTCTGAGCCATGCCCTAAGGGTCCATGTGCCCAAGTAGGGCTCCGTTAAGTGTTACTATTTAAGGTGTTCCTTTAAGGGTTCCGTAAGGTTTAGGGTTTAAGGGTTCCTTTAAGGGTTCTGTAGGGTTTAGGATTTAAGGGTTCCTTTAAGGGTTCTGTAGGGTTTAGGGTTAAGGGTTCCTTTCAGGGGTTCTGCTGGGTTTAGGGTTTGAGGGTCCATGTACCCAAGTAGTAATGCTTTGGCCCCAAAGTACCTAGACAGGGACTACTTTAAGGCCAAAGCAAAAAGCGCAAGGACCCCTAAACCCTAAACCCTAAACCCTAAACCCTTGGGGATACACCCTAAACTCTTTCATAAGACACGGAGACTCCGACGGCTTTAAAAGTTCTCAAGGCCCAAAAGCCTCAACTTCTCTGAAACCTTGTGAAATGTGGGTAGTTCTCTAATTTAGGGTCCCTTTTGGGGCCCTTTTTATAAGGGTGCCGTACTATGGAGACTTACAGGGGACCCGAATGTAGAGAACCTAGCCATGTGCTGAATGAAAAGATCGCAATCTCGAGGGGCAAGCTCCCGTCACATCTGCGCAGCCGGCATCCACGTTCAAGGGCACCTGGCAGTGCCACTTGGGGTTTATTGTTTTTGTGCCGCTCAACGCCAAGAACCACAGGGGATCGGGCAGTAATTATTCTTTTACAGGATGAATCTTCCTACACCTAAATTGCCCTGAGGGTCGTGTCAGTGCCCAAATAATTAGTAGGATTTTGCGTCTCGGGTGCCCAAAACCATTCAGAGTCTAGCTAGCCAAAAGAACATTCGCCAGTGAAAGCCACATACTGTAGGCAATAACATATCAAGAAACATAGTGCCATACAACTTAGATTAACTTCTTGCTATATCAATGATGAGGTTGTGTCACCTGATGCTTTGCTGCATCGGTACCTAAACCCTAAACCCTAAACCCTAAACCCTAAACCCTAAACCCTAAACCCTAAACCCTAAACCCTAAACCCTAAACTTGGCTTAGCAGTCCTTCGGCTCCGGGTGCTCTGTGTCCCAAACCCCCGCCTCTCAGAACGGATGGCAAGTCGAGAGTAGCAAAACTGAAGGTTTTATAGGGTTTAGGGTTTAGGGTTTAGGGTTTAGGGTTTAGGGTTTAGGGTTTAGGGTTTAGGGTTTAGGGTTTAAGTTTCGAAGGATTTGAAGAAGGGGATATTATGCACAAACTTATAAAGGTACTGTTAAATACCAAGTGTTTAACACTTACCGCTCAGACCCTTATCAAACTAGCCTCTGAATGCATTACAAGGAATGGGTTCTGTTCTCATGAAGGCACTCTACACGCATATGCACATAATTAACATCCTCAACTCAAATAAACGAGACATCATCTGGGGTACGGCTTTTCTTCTGTTGGCTGTATGTATATTGCAGGTCTCCTTGCAACGACAGCGGCCGGCACATGCTGTGCTCTCGGCGCACTTCTCGCGATAGCTTTGCACCAGCTCATAGCAGGCATCCTCGTCCACTCGTGCATCTGGCACGGACTTGCTCGCTTCTTCGCCCTGCCTGCATGCAAGTTCGTACAGGTTGTTAAGGGCTCTTTGGCAGGGCCGCCATCCCGGAAAATTCAGTGCCGCTTCATCTCCCAGAACCTTCTTGCGGCAGCCTCGGCACTGGCTTGGCGGGTTTCGTCTTCGTGATTGTCTTGACGACACCACTTGTGCCGGAATTCGGCCTCGACTCTTTCCACAGCCCTTGCCACGGAGCCATCAAAATAAACTAGGAACCCCAAAAAGCACCAACACAAAAACCATAAGCCAACGAGGTAAGGGTATCCCGTCCAAAAGCTTATCTTTGTGTGCTGTTTTGGTTCCTGATAAAATGGGAGCCCGACTACAGCTGACATCCTTAAAGCAAGTCGATCAAGATAGGCACGAAAGCCAAATCCAAACAACCCGACATTCGCCGACCCCAAACCAAAACACTAAACCTCCGAACAATTAAACAACACAAACAAACAACAACCAATGAATAACATCAGCCATGAAGTAAACAAACCAGCAGAATCACGGAGATGTCGATGAGCATCAGAGGCCGCTCGCGTCCTGCAACGTTGCTCATCACTCAACAACGGCAGACTTGCGGGGGTTAAGGTTTTAGGGCTTCGAGGCTTAGGGTTCTTAGGGGTTATAGGGTTTATAGGGCTTAGGGCCGAGTAAACCCTAAACCCTTAACCTTGAACCCCACATCCTCAACCCTAAACCCTAGGGCCTTTAGGGTCTGTACAGGGTTTCGGGTTTAGGGACACTTGAAGGGGTGGGGTCTTCGGTGCTTTCAAGGGTTGTGTGGTTTCGCCTGTGTTGGGTGTTGGGCTTTAGTGTTTAGGGTATAGGTTTTAGGGTTTAGGGTTTGGGGTTTAGGGTTTAGGTTTTAGGGTTTAGGCTTTAGGTAGGGTTCAGGGTTTATAGGGTGTAGGGATTTGTGGTTTAGGGTTTATAAGGTTTAGGGGCTTGGGCTTTAGGGTTGGGGGTTGTCGAGCTTGAGGGTTTTGCAGCTTCAGGCTTGCGTTCGGGATTTGAGTTTCCTCTGGCAGACGACGACTCCCATTTTGGCGCTCCTGTACATTAGCAGAAGCAGTTGAAGGATTAAGAGACTGCAACCTTTGGAGCCATGAACGATGTGGGAGCTTCCGAAAATAAGGGGTAACTTTTTTAAGGGGTCCTTATAATGAGGATCCTACTATTTAGGGTACTATATTGGGTCCCTTATTTTCAGAAACCCCCATGGAGTTGCCAAAAAGGCGTGGTCTTCAAACTCAGGTCTACCTGGACCCTTAAATGTAGTACCTCTGTTGGGTTACCTGAGTTTCTTGTTGTAGGATCCTAACCATAAACAGAAGGTCCCCTCCAAAAACGGTACTACAGTTGAGGGTCTAGGTACCTTGTTTAAGTTTTTGGGCAGACATAGGATCCTGCCATTGAGGGTTCTATACTGGTGTCTTGTAAATAGGGCCCATATAACCCCCCTTATAATGAAGCCCAATAAGGTAGGGATATCCCTGTAAAATGCTTATGCTTATGTCCTTTCGGGCTCCCTAAGTAAAGGGTTTGGGGTCTGGGTTTCATGTCAGACACAGTAACCACTGCCCAGGCCAAACCCAAGTAACCCTAAACCCTAAACCCTAAACCCCTAAACCCTAAACCCTAAACCCTAGACCATAAACCCTCAACCCAACAAGCAGCGACCCAAGAACTGATGCAAGGTCCATGCGATCAACCTGTCGGCCATTCAACATACCTAGACCTCGAACTGTTGCATATTTGACCCTTCTTTCTTGTTCTAGGAGCCTACTGTAGAGGCCTTAATAAGAATAGCGTTTTTGGGCCCATTATACTAAAAAAATAAGGAACCCCCAAAATAGTATTGGTAATTATTTAGGCCCCTACATTAGCGGCAAACTAACCTGTTACTAAATTGGCAGTCCCAAATAGGTGACCAGAGACAAGTTCATCGTCTTCGCAGGTCCTTCCACGTCTTTGGCATGGATGATCGGTACCTGATTCGGTGCTTACCCCCTAAACCCTAAGCCCTGTTAAGCTGCTGCTCAAAAGGCTACACCGGGCTAAGGGCTCAGACAAGCCAGCATAACAACCTCCCTTTCTGTAAGCGTGGGCCTCAAGCTTTTAAAAACAAGGCAGATGACGGATTCATTGATACTGGTTTCATGGATCAGGGCCCATAATCCGCCTCACCTCACGATCTGACAGCTCGGCTTTAGTTGAACTCGCCCAGAAGTCGATCGGCCATCTGCCCGGACATGCCGAGGAGCTGAGAAAAGAGTTTGGACTTCAAGATTTATCCGGCTCGCGGCTTGTGGTAGAGTTGGGACTATGTTTGCGAGTTTAGATGGTTCAGGAATTAGATCCATATGGACGACGGCTTTTCTTGTGAGCAAGACCCGCCATTTCAACAACATCCCGAGTGTCAAGGCGCGCAACCTGAACCGAGCTGGCATATGGGTGGTTGTCAAAATTAGGGTCCCTTTTGGGGTACCCTAAATAATAGGCGCCGTATTATAATAAGGGACCATAATTTCGACAACTACCCATATTAGATGTTCCCGTCAAGTCAGGTCGCTCGAGCTCGCCCGTGTAATCAGATTCGCTGAAGACGGCTACTAGGGTGTACATACTGTATCAACTCTAGGATTACCGGGAGCCCGATAGACTTAAGTAAGGTTTGGGACTACTGTCCTCTATGCATGTTCATGGGCGGGCACCTCGCTACCAGTGGCCGTGAAAACCACGTCGCTCTCCTTCATCACCTCAAACATGTCGTCCATGCTGGCGACCTCGGACGCGAAGGTTTCGATTTTCCGGCTTGGGATTAGCAGAGTAGACCCATCGGCCCCATAGGAATTCCTTTTGTGATTACCTTATAGGATTCTAAATATGAACCTCAAACAGGAACTACTATGGGGCCTATGGGTAGGCACAGGTAGAGGCTTAGGGCTTGCGATTTCTACGACTCTCGATTTACAGGAGCTGCGGCCATGGGGGTTGGGAGTTAGGGCTTGTAAGGTCTCGGTCTCAGTGTAAATCTGGGGTTCTGCAGCGGTTGTTACTTGCTGCCCTGGCAGTCACGATATCTGCTGTTTCGGGTACCTGACATAAAACTCTACGCCTAAAACGTACTGTGACGATCTGCTGCAACTCAGTTATTGAATATCACTGAGGCCCTGAAGCAGCCAATCGGCTAGCGCCACTAAGGTTTACTTGGCTGCATGCCCTGCCGTAAGCTTTAGGGCCTCAGCTGTTTGATTCGGTCGCCACTTCGCGGGTAGTTCTCTACATTAGGATCTCTGGTAGGGTCCTGTTTACAAAGGTGCCTTACTATCTTGGGACCTAAAATGGGGGCCTTAAACTACAGAACTGCCCATGTACCCTGGACAGCAGACGCCCTCTTGGTGCCTTGCTGTGGCATTGCTGCCTCCACGAGCCTTGACGAGGTCGTCGTCAAGCACCACCTGTGCCTTGCAAAAGGGATGTCGCTGGTTCGTTTAAAGACTTCGGGCTCTAAGCTTCGAAGGGGCGATGTAATCCTCGGAAATACTGAGTCTTGCAACTTGGTGTTTTCGAGGGTCGACCTCTCAGAATTTTGGTATCACATATCGCACTGCATGCGCGTACATCTACACAGCAGAGAAGCAAGCGACAGTGTGCCGATACGCGCCGGCAAACTTGTATTTAGCAAGCAAAGATTAATGCTGCCCACTTCATTCTAGCCTGTGGAGCCCACTTCCACAAAGCAGCGCTGTGGTCTGAATGGGCGAGGGAATCCAACAGCCGATCGTGACAAGCTGCCCATATGTACCTTCAGCCTCGTATATAACATGACACAACGATTTAAACCCTAACATGTCATACCTTTTGGTTGCCTTAGCTTCTCATTCTCGAATCCTAACCATATAAACGGTTCTCCCCAAACAGCCACTACTTTCTGGGGTCTTGGCAAAATTGCAGTATCCGGCAAATGCCAAGAGAATCGAGCGGACGGGCCTTGTCCACGGAACGGTTCACCAACGTGACCTTGATGTCGGGATGCTTGCTGAAGAGCGCAAGCAAGCAAAGCCTCGCGAAATGACGAAGTTAAAGAGGCATTACCCATAGGTCCCACAGTAGTTCCTTTTTGGGATTCCCTAATAGGATTCTAAATATGAACCCCCAAAAGGAACTACTTTAGGGCCTATGGGTAAACTGCTGCAGTTCCAAATTCACCCACGGTGCCCTCCAGGCGAGTGCCCACAACAAGAACCACAAAATAAGACCAGCATTGAATCGCGAACGTCTAGACCCATGCAAGCAGTGTCGGAAGTCAGTTCAGGTAACCAATAACGACGCATGTAGGAGGCACTCATATAATTACAGACTGGGAACACACACAAGCATGCCAAAGAGACGTGGCGCTAAGCATTCGTCCTTGTTAGAATCACGATTTGTCCCACTGCTGTAGACGGACGGAGAAAGCTCCAAAAGCATGCACGTCTGCACTTCCTTACACAAAAGTTTTACAACAAGTCGGTGGGCCTGGACATCTTGCCTGCCCCGACGATGCAGACCTGCGGGTGAAGGCCGGACACGCATCAATCATGGCAAGGCCAGCGAACGATTGTGACCAGCAACGGAAAAGCTGTAGCATTCACGGAAATGCGGTCACGAGTATTGGTCGTCGTCGTAGTGGTAGAATCAGTCATAGTGTCATAGTGGTAGCGACAGCTGCATCAACCACCGTGCTATGAGATTGCGGCCAAGCTGCATTCACCTTCCCTGCAGGCTTTCGCAGGTCCTGCATGGACCTGCGCAGACGGTGCCAAGTGAGTTCATAGAGTCGACATGACATGGCATCATCTCTGGCGGTTCTCTGTCTTGTTTACGGTGTTGAACTTGTTCAAGCTTGCTGCCAATTGTTCAACCCCATGTTCGGGTGCCTTACAACACTGCCAGCCCACGTCGACACCGAATTTACGCTTGGCTTGGGGCCATTGCATGAAAGGTGTATCCCTAAGGGTCCATGTGCCCAAATAGTATATACTTTGGCCTTAATGTGGCTGCGGCCTGCATGGTCAGAGAACCCTGCCGGTTTAGGGTTTAGGGTTTAGGTTTAGGGTTTAGGGTTTAGGGTAGATCGCAGGTACTGAGAACCCATAGGCCATAGGCCCCAAAGTAGTTCCTTTTTGGGATTCCCTAATAGGATTCTAAATATGAACACCAAAAAGGAACTACTTTAGGGCCTATGGGAACGACATACAATATCAATCACCTGTCCGTCAACAATCGCTGAGTGGTCGTAGCCTGAAGGCTAAGAACAAGCAGGAACAAGGAGTATAATCTCGGACAACTTGTACAATCCATGCCCTTCGCAGTACGGCAACTCTGAGACTCTACGCAAGATGCAACCCGACAAAACAGCACCCTTAACCACGACAACTTGCCGCACAACCCTGCTACATACTGTCGATCTCAAGTCAAATTTAAGCTGTATGGCACCCCGACGCATTCAGAATGCTCCGTGGTTGAATTCGCCAGAACCCCTGCGGCCGCAAAGCCAAAACCCAAAAAGAAACTTCAATAGACTGTTGCGGGTTCACTATCCTACAAGACTATAAACCCTAAACCCTAAACCCCTAAATTATATATATATATATGTATACTAAGGAACCCCCCAAGTGTTACTAATCATAGAACGAAGGAGTATCATTAGAAGCCCCTAGAGCCAAGATAGGCATCTGAAACCCCACAACCGCAAAAGCCAAACAGCAATGGTTTAGGGGTTTAGGGTTTTAGGTTTAGGGTTGAGGTGCTAGGTGTTTTAGGGTTGGGGGGTTTAGGGTTTAGGGTTTAGGGTTTAGGGTTTAGGGTTTAGGGTTTAGGGTTTAGGGGTTAGGGTTTTAGGTTTAGGGTTGAGGTGTTAGGTGTTTAGGGTTTGGGGGTCTAGGTTTTAGGGGCTTAGGGTTTGGGGGTTAAGGGGTTTAGGGAATTAGCCTCGACATCATCAGCTCCACTGCGGCGCTGGAGACGGACACGGAGCCTCAGTCCGTTTGAAGCATTGACTCTGCTTGCAAGTACTTCACAGACTCCCGATAACACTGACCTACGTTACTACTATCCTGAACCAAATTCGGGTCTTTGGGTCTAAGTTACCAGTCGTTTAGTGTAGGTTGGTACTGCGGGGTGTACACAGCAGAATCAGGGGCACTTGGACCCTGAGAGCTAGTCACAAACTGAACCTTTACCGATGATACCCTAACCCTAAGGGTCCATATACCCATATAGCATATACTTAGACCCCAAAGTACCCAAATAGGAACTACGTTAAGGCCAATGTATATACTATATCAGTACATGGACCCTTAGGGTAACTAACACCACAAGCCTCACTGTAAACAAAAGCCCTAACTGAAACTGTACCCCGTTCAACGCAATTTCTGGGATTCTAAATTCTGCGGCCTGCGGCGGCCAACACATCAAGATGCAAACTCGTTGTATCATACTTTCAAGCACTTAAAACACCAAACTAGCTTGTTGAACGGACCCTGCACTCTAATCAAGCCCTATAACCCTACAAGCCCTAAGCCCATACACGCGCGCATCTGAGTCTCTTGAGCCTACAAACCTTAAACCCAGTACGTACCGTACATTGTATCACTCATGAAGCACCTCAAACCACAAGCAGTAGACGCCCAAAAGGTGGAAAGCCAATAGCCTCAATCCTTAAGAGTCATATATAGGGAGTCCCAGCACTAATTGTCCTTAACCCGGTTTCCAACCTCTTGGCCTTAAGGGTCCATGTACCCAAATAATATATACTTTGGCCTTGAAGTAGTCCCTATATAGGTACGTACTTTGGGGCCAAAGTATATACCATTTGGGTACATGGAGCCTTATATGCCTCAAATATCCCTAAACCCTTATGGTACCCCTTATAAGAGCCCTTAAAAAGGAACCCCTACTCGGGTACATGGACCCTAAGGGTTGAGGGATACGAAAACAGCCTGTTGAACCGGCCTTGAGAGCCGAAGGCCCTGGCCCCAGACTGTAAATTAGGGTTTAGGGTTTAGGGTTTAGGGTTTAGGGTCTAGGGTTTAGGAGTTTAGGGATTAGGAGTTTAGGGTTTAGGGGTTTAGGAGTTTAGGGTTTGGGGTTTAGGGTTTAGGGTTTAGGGTCTAGGGTTTAGGGTTTAGGGTTTAGGGTTCTAAACCTAAAACATGCTAAACCCTAAGGGTCCATGTACCCAAATAGAATATACTTTGGCCTTAAAGTATTCCCTATATGGGTACTTTGGGGCCAAAGTATATCCTTTTTGGGTACATGGACCCTTAGGGAAACTCAAATCCTAAAGCTTAATACAGGGGCCTTAATACTTGGAATAGGGTTTTGGGGGCCAAATACACTAGTATTATGATATAAGGAACCCCCAAAATGGTATTGGTAATTATTTATAGGCTTCTAGATTACCCCCCCCCAACCCTAACCCCAAACTCTGAACCCGAACCCGAAACCTTAAACTACCCCTCCCTCAACCCCCCAAAAAACCCCTAACAGCTACTCCCATACCTAAACACCCAAACCAAGAACAATCCTTGAAGCCTCAACCTTGCCTTAAACTACCCCATGAAAGGGCCAGAGGCCGCTGCCCTTTCCAATCTTGGTTCGTGTCCTCACAAGCTTGCCGATCCTTAGCGGTGTTTGCTTGCGAGAAGAGGGCTCTGCGAGTGCGAGGCACAAAAAGCGTGGGGTTTAGTCTTTCAGGGTTTTAAGGTCTTAGGAGTTTACTGGTTACGATATTGGAGGGTTTAAGGTTTTAGTGCTCAGGGTCCATAGGCCTTTAGTTTTACGATGTTTTAAGGGTTTGTCATTGTTGCTGCTTTCGCCGAGTTTTCGAGGCTTAGGGATCAGGTCTCCGATCTTTGAGATATTCAGAGCTTACCCTAAGGGTCCATGTACCCAAATAGTATATACTTCGGCCCCAAAGTACCCATATAGTGACTACTTTAGGGCCAAAGTATATACTATTTGGGTACATGGGGTTTGAGTTTAAAGTTTAAGCTGGAGCTTCAGACAAGACACGGGACGCTGGAGTGTTGTCTGCTATGTGCTACGCAGAAACAGAAAACCCCAGATAGCTTTGTGAATCTGCGTTGGGCTCACCCGCGGATTTCGAAGTACGTCCCTTATATCACCATGGCTTCGACCGGTTTAGGGCTTAGGGTTTAGGGTTGAAAGCGGGCCGCAGCTACGTAGGCACAACGCCAGCAAGGCTCTCTTTTTCCTTCGAGCAATGGCGCTGCAACCATCGCAATGCATGCGTGTGCAAGCCCTCAAGCTATTCAGCTTGCACGGGCCCCAACAACT